GATCACGTAGCCAAGCCGCCAACTCCTCGAAGAGCTCCTCTTCGTTGTACCCGGGCTTGCCCCCGGAGAGCTTATCACATACACGGCTCTGAATCTCATGCACAATCTGACGACACGTGTGAATGTAATCTGAGCTCTGGTGCAAGCCAATATGCCAGCGACCCAAGTAGTCCCTCTGTTCCTTCGGGACCCCGAAGACCGCCGACATGGATGGGAGAACATGCCTCATGCTGTGACCCGTCCAAAACAAGTAACATTCGGAGCCCAGCAAGAACTGATCCCCATCCGTACGAGACCGCCATGTCCGCTCGTTGATACGTCTGAAAGGAGTCCTGAGTTTCCTCCACACCAGGCGCATGTAGTTGCTGATAACCTCCGGCCTTGCGAATTTATAGCATGGCTCCTCAAAATCTGCAGAGGACTGGAAAACCAAGAAAGTCCGATCCAACTGTCCCAAACCTTTCCAGAGATCAAAACCAGCTCGAAGCCAGTCGTGCCCAGATAGGCCTATGTTTCTTCCGATAAAGAATGGGACCTCAGCCACCTTTTTGTCGGGCCCCGTGGTCTTAGTCTTAACCAAGAAACCCTTAAGGCCCTCACGGAAAAGCCTAAGACGGGAAACATCAATGCCTTGCAGATCAGACACCCGCATGCATGCCCAGACGCAAACCAAGCAGGCCCACATGAGACATCGTGCATACAAAGGATTGCCATCTGTAACCACGAAAATCTCCAAAGCAATGAGAATTGCAACTGAAAAGGGCGCCGCCTGCTTTGTTGCTGTCCTTCCTTCATGCACTTCCGCAGCCGAGCTCTTTGAGGCCGCGACCACCAATCTGTCCTTGCACAGCTGATGCGAGACAGGAACCTGGCCAGCATCCTCCAGCACTGATAGAGAACTCATAAACTCAGCAACGCAGCTCTTAGTGCCAACCTCCTGCTCCAAGAACATAAGATAGTCCACGACATCCGATGCATGTCGGGGGTAAGCATAACCCTTCACAGAGGACCACCAGTCACGCGCTTTGCGCCATGTCCTAGCCCGATTCCTCAAAGTCTTCGAACGCCGAGCCCCGAGCGCCCGTAAAGCATAATTCAGCCGCTGTTCCTCATCCTCGACGGGGATCTCGGTAATCGGAAGCTTTGCCTCAACCATAATTTGGACTAATACTGTTCCCCAGAACCTCTTTGCAGCCTTCTCAGCATCAGCCGGCGTACCGGCCCCTCCTGAAACCCATCTTGCATGAGCACGACTAGTTTGTTTGCT